GCAACTCGCCCTGCCCTGACCTCCCACACTACTCAAAACTGCCGAACGACCCGGACACTGGATAGATAAATGACTTTCAACTGTAGAACTCTTGACTGATTTCGAAACATGATCTGAACATTCTGCTTTGGGGGTCTGAAACCCTACTTACCCCTATGTTTTATTTAAATTTTTCTATGATCCAGAACTTATACGGTTGAAATATGTTTAGCTCTGATTTTTCTAAAGGTGGGGATAAGGTGTTTGGAGGTATTATTGGTTTGGGGTTTTTCGTGTTGTGGCTAGCCGCAAAACCAAATCCTATCGAATACAACCCTCCAGCCACTACGACTTTAAAAATCCCGGGCGACCTGAGCTGAGAAGAATCCTTTCGAGATGCCAAAGCGAACGACCTCCTGCCAAGGGCGGGGCTGGCTGGGGCTTTAAACTTTAAACCTTCCGAGATTCCGGGTTCTGGGTTCAACTGCTTAGCTTAAGGCAAGGAGGGTTGGTGTGGGTTGGTTGCCGAGAACATAGAAAATATTATAGACTAGAGTGGCGATATAGATCTAGTAGATTCGTGAATAATAAAAAAAATAAACCTAGAAGACCGGAGGATTATTATACTGAATAGGGTGTTTGGACTTCGTTCTAAACTTGGGTTTCGGGCTTTGGTTTGGGCCAAAGGGTTTACTAATGGCTGTTGTTTTGCTTTTCTGTAAGCTCTGGGCTTGGAGCTTCATACTTAAAGCGATGTATATCCGAACGACGGAAGCTTGCGAAGTCGAGGCTTGGCTTTGGGCAACACACGATTGATTGCTGTGCGAAACAGAAGCATGACAGGAACCTGGAATTCCCCGTGCAATGCTCCTTTACGAACTAGACCAACCCATTCGAAGTCTACACTAGACACTCTAAGTAAGCCAGATCCACAACCGACAAATCAACAAACACCGGAGCCATTATTATGTTATTACTCACGGCCAACACTGCCTTCTGGACGACCTCGAACGACATCAAGTGGATCTCGAGCGGCCACGACCTGCCACGAAAAGGATACAGTGAGGCTCAAAGCAGACAGGGGTATGCACAGGCACCTGCATCCACGCACGGCCCTTTTTTTTCCGTTTCGGCGGTCCGGGCGGCTGTCGCCCGATCCGCAAAATAAACGGAGCACTGCCGATGCTCCTCAGCTCCAGTCTGCCTCCGAACGACTCCGGCAGCTGGATTCATACATGGCCTGAGATGACTGACATGTTGATCTCTGCACGCGAACATTAACATGTTCACTCCCACGAATGTAACTAAACTCAGCCAAGGCACCCGGTGGGCGAACGACGAACGTCCTAACGGCGATCGTTGTACCGAGGACGGCGAGGTTCCTGGTGCAAATCAAGTAAACAATGACATCGGCAGGAACTACCAAGCACACGCTGACACTATTGCAGACGGGCTGCCGGCTCATCCATCCACCGGGGTGGCGGGCGACTCGGGTGGCCAGGATCCGAGAGGCGGTCCCGGTCGTCAAAGTAGCCACGGCGATCGTCACGATGGTCGTAGTAGTCGTCCCGATCGCGGTCCCGATCCCGATCGCGAGGGTCCCGATAGCGAGCCCAGGCATTCTCACGATCGCGAAAGTCCATAGGATCGTCACGGCGATCGTCCCGGCGATCGCGAGGACGAGGACCATCTGCCAATGGATCGTGACACACAGCTACTGTGCAGGGGCAACAACAGGACCAGGAACCCAAATAAAATGCAACCCAAGTCACCACGGCGATC